TTTCGCCATTGAGAAAACGCACCGGTGGATGAAAGTATCTTACAGCGTGGCAACAAAGCCGTACTAAAGCCGCCAAGTTAAACGAAAGTCCGTAAAGACTGATTCAGTTGTGACGTTGAAAACGCAATACCACCGCCTGCCATCTCATAGGTTTGTCCAAGAAAAACATTTTCGCGACAACTCCGCACACATCGGATGTTGACATTATCCATGATCGATATCCGCGTTTCCTGAATGATATATTCAAAACCTGGCACGAAATTATACTATTACATCGTTGACGTATTATTGAGTATAAGTGGGACGATTTTGAGAAAGCACTTCGTTTTAAATGTCATGCGCGTGATGGACACCCTTTGCAATATTTATGCTTGCACTTCCTAGATTAGTTATTAAAAATACAAATAAAATTGTGTATATTTGACGTGTTTAACAAGAAAACTTTTTGAAAACGTAATCTATTACACATATAATTTTCATCTATAAATAATAATAAACACGACAAATAAATGTAAGAAGATATATAGATAATATAGAAATGAGACTTACATTTTAAAATTAATTATCAAATGATTATTCGAATAGCTTCTCTTATCGTGTTGTATTAATATTAATTATTCAACATCAAACGTACATAGGATGCGAATGATTTTATTCGCGCTCAGTAAGTAGCGTGATAACGGTGAGCAAGAATTTGGAGATATTTACACGTGTCAAAGAAATCGGAGCAAACTGTCTCGTCGTTACGGCGAGTCAACGAAGCTGTTTCTTCCGGTTACCGCCGCTGGTTGCACACGGCCAGCATCCCGCATGAGTATCGCACCTGTGCTGTTGCTAAACGCGTACGTACGAAACGCAGACGATGCATGCAGCGACTACGGAATCCCTGCATTGCAATTTATGCTGATTTATATGCGCGACGGCTTGCAGTAGGAACCTACAACGGCGCTTGCAACCCGATTGTCTCTTTCTATCTCTCTTCTCCCTCCCTTCTCCCCCCCTCCCTTTCTCTCTCTCTTTCTCTACCTTCCCTTTATGGATATATATATATATATATATATATATATATATATATTTCGATTTATTTATACTTTGTTTTCTAATTCTATACCTATGTGCACTGTTATCGTCGCGCATTGCAAGTTAGTTAGGACCTAGAAACTAACACCGACCATTAACGAGATTGCCGGACTTCGTATTTTTACCACATCTCTTTCGTGTGAAGCTTCGAATAATATGTCGGTATTTTTATTGAATCTATTTCCCTCCATTTTTATATGTCGAAATATGCATTCCGTGAAAAACAATTTCGACTGAGCTTCGCAAAATACCTCGCACGTGAAAATTTTTAAAGTAATACCGGTAACGTTGTATTTTATTATTCTCACTCCGCAAACGGACGTTATTTTTTCGCTGTTTTCCTTACCGGGTGATATTTTGCACCCGATTCTTGGGCTAAAAGCTTGGGGAAAAAGCTCGCGGTGATAATCTTTAATAATGATAAAGCCATCACGCACATTTGCGGTCTCAGCAATAAATAATGAAGATGGGTTGGCCCGTCCGACCCTCTTCGTGTCCTACTACTGATATGTATCTGTTTACACGATCCCTTCTTCTTCACTGCCGCGCGTGCTTATTCAAACGTGTCTACATCCACCCCGGCGTTTGCCCGACCGCCATTTCTACGCCATCCACCTAGTTGGCACGATCCCCCATGAAACGCCCGGACCAGTTCTCTTGGTACATATACAACAAAGGACGACGTTCCTCACTGAATGCTAATTGACACCCAACCACAACGACCTATGCTAAATTCTGTCCCAAAATTTCGTCTGCGTCGTGCAGCTAAGCATTATTATTAGTTCGATGTTTCTCGAATTAGCCTCGCTGCAAACTTGCCGAATATTAATTCAAGATATTTCTAAACGTGACTTTTTAATGGAAAAGTCAGTTGCAATTTAAGCATAATTATAATTTGATTTATTATTACAGCTTTAATTACTAATTATTTTCTCTCTTTTAACATATGTGCTTATATGTACTAAGCATATATTTAAAATGTGTATACAATATATATGAAATTCAAATTATTAAAATACAATTATTTTTCTAAATTTTTTAAAATAATTATATCAATACTTTCAATATTGAAGACTTAAAGAACAATAATGGATAGATTGATCTCGTTCATAATGTAGATACAGTTGTTTGCCTCCTTCCGATATAGAATTTCAACGCATAACCAGGCCAGAACTGTCAGCCGGCAATCTAGAATAATTAATATTTTGTTATTAATAATTAAATTACGCCCCATTCGCCATAATTAATACCAGTCAATCTCGAATAAATAAAAGATCATTTTATAAACTTCGTATAAATAAAGAGAGGGAGAGAGACTGTAATTTATTTTACTTATTTTATATCAATTTAACTGATGAACGTGAAATAAAACGTGGACCAGACGTGCGACTTATTTCCCCCTGGAATTTGTACAGCGGCATCAGCGGAAGTTTGCTTAAAAACTCCAATAGCCATTGCAGCCGTCGCACAGTCTCGTAACTTTGCAAATTCACTCAAGCTTTGTGACGAACTCTGCCTTTTTCTTTCTATCTCCCTTTCTCTCTCTTTTTCTTTCAATACCTGTCTCTCGGGTCGTCACCACCCATCGAACTTGATATTCGCTTTCTGAATTGATATTCTTTCTGAATAATCCTCAAACCTTCCGCAGCTTTCTCTCTTCGATGACATTTCGACAACGATAATAAAATAGAAATGATCGCCTTTCTCTTCCCTTTGCGCGCACGAGAGTTTACAGACTTTTTATGCCATGGATGAATTTCGACGAGATCTCCGGCGAAATAAAAAATAACGATCCTAACGGGAGTAAGACGGGTATGATAATTTAATTTCCGATAAGCTTCACCTCGGCCTGGGCGCTGCTTCAAGTGAGAAACGAGGCAGAAGGAGCCCTTGTTAATCGGTAACTTGCCCTTCATTCATATCTTCCCCCTTTCTCATATCGACGCCGGTAATATAAATAAAAATGTAATAAAAATAGATATACTTGTGATGAGACGGTGGGTGGCGGCAGACAAGATAAAGACGTGGCCTTTCTTGTCTCATAATATAAATTGCGCCATAAAAGTATAATATATAGATATAAAAAGTTGATATTGCCTCTCGAGACGATCAACGCTACTTAAGATCGACACTTTCCATCCGATAATTCAGCTTATCGCGAAAAAATTATTATTTAATTGTTAGAGGTTCTTACAGCTTCTCAAGTTTTAAGCGTTCTCGTAATTAGATTTTTCCGTCAAATTTTTCCTAAGGAAAAGTCGACCCCAAGTTCATCGTGGAATTATGAAGGATGAGCCAATATGTCTAAAACATTCTTTATAAACGTCATCTTCATCTGATTAATTAATTCCTTCGCGTACAATAATGCAGAGCAGAATGTCGGAGAGAAAAAAGACATCGGAGAAGGAAAGAAAGGAATTGTAATTAGATCGCGTTCTTTTCGCGAGCTTCTTTTCTGTTTTGTAGCTTTCTTTATTATTACATTACAATGATATTTCTCTTTTATAACAAAAGCTTTTAATACCTCATGTTCGTATTACTGGAGATGCACACGACAGTTCGATATGCATATATGTTTCATAAAATCATACGTAATTTTTGGATTCTAGCATTTTTTATACATCCAAAACGAGGTAGTTTATTCTCTGTTCTCGCTTAATTAATTGTAAGATCTCTTAAGTTTTTAAACTACGACGGCCTTAGTCTTAAGTAGTTATTCACGATTGACGAATATCGAGAAGAGTTACGAAGGGCACATCATTTTTTTCTGATTTAAACCATTTTTTTAGAATTGTAATTAAACGTATGGATATAATTGATAATATTTACATAATTATTTCTTTTGTCAATATAAATCTAAACTAATGTTAATTTTTAATTTTCTATAATTTCTATATAAATACTCTGAGAAAATAGTTAGAATAATTTTAAATAGATACAGATTTTATAGAACTCTTCTCCGAAGCAAAGATTAGTCCTTTTATTTCTTAAATGTGCGATTAGCAGTCACCCTTTATTTGTCCCATTGTATCTCGATTAGCAACGATCGCTCTTTTGCATCCGGCCGCGCGACATGTTTACACAACATTATCTCCCGACTAATGGATCGCGACGATGTCTGAGACGCGGCAGCTCCCTTAAGCCGAAGGGGCAAATTCTGAAAAATCATCCCGGACCTTTTTACACGCCCTTCGCCATCGAGCGTATATCATCGCCAAAGCCGATAAGCTTTCACGCCGGCGAGTCTTGTTATTAAGGCCTAAGGAGAGAAGGCACCCGTGGTGTCGGGAGAATATAATCGGGAAATGACTCTGCTGCGACGTATAATTTATGACAGCCGCTGCCCCGTTCGAAAAGTCGATCGCCATTCTACCGCATGGACCGCTGATTGTTTCGCGATTATCGATTTTCGCTTCTCGCGAAGGAAGCCGTTTTCGTATAGGAGAAATCCGGACCCTTACACGCCGGAATCGTCTCTTCTCGTAAATATATATTTCCTATTTCATTTTATTTATTCCTCGCCGTACATATCGTACACATTTGACTGTTATTGCGGTAATAAATTTACCCGTACACACGAGCACCGCTTTACATAATTCCTCTCGATCGAATTCAGCACATGCTCGCGAGCACATAGATTTTCTGGCGAAAGAGAGTATTTCCTCCCACGATCCAACAAATACCCTGTACGCGTCCCTTGTCATCCCTCGTCGCTGCTCGACCTCGTTATCTTCGTTATACTTGTCCGTCACGTAACAACGAGTCCGTTAAACTAACGTGTAGTCATTAAGGCACTGATGGGAAAAGGGCGGAGATAATTTATTACGTCTCTCCTGCGAATTTTCTATATTCGACGTTTCGTCCCACGGGTGAATTCGCTATATATTTTAACATCGGATATCCGAGTGAGGAGAGAGAACCCCTCCTTTTACTGCGCGAGAGAATAAAGATGAACATCTGAATTTTTCAGGTAAAAGAGGAGAAATGAGGAAACGCGTAGGGTCGGGTGCGGTCGGAGCGTATATTATTCCTGGAGAAATACTTATACATTTTTTATGCTACGTCGCTTAAAGTGCCGCTACGGCGCTGTCGAAATTACGACGACGACGGCAACGGCGATGGAGGAGTACTCTTATGTCATGTCCTTGAACACCTGTCGCCACTTTCACGCCTTGTTACACGAATTACGTTTCTCAAATCGATCGATTCGGCTACATTGTCTATCTAATCTAGCGGGACACGAGAGGGGCGTATTAGATCAATAACATTAATTACGCTAATTGCATCTATTCAGACCAAAGCACCGATCTTTCGTTCGACCGGCAGGATAGAATAGCGGATGTGGATGATAAATTCTTGGTTCTGATATTAACGAAAGAATCCTGTATATTTTCTTTTTCTACTCGATTGTGTCTTTTCTTCTTATATAAAAAGAAGAACGGCCAAATTTCCTAGCACTCGTCACGAGATATGACGGCTCTCATAAAGATCGTAGGAACTCTGCGTGGTGCGCGCGCACGAAGAAATATTATTACCTGAGAAAATGCCTCGGGGAGAAAAGTCGACGCGTACGAATAACAGCGGGATGGAGGGACGGTAAAGTCTATTATGTCGCTTGCCATTATGAATAATGCCATGTGACGCGTTTCGCCGTCTAGAAGGATGGATCGTTACGTGGGTGCGCAAGGTACAATGCCTAATGAAGTAACGTGGCCGCCAGGAGAAAGTAACGTGCATGTCCCCGGTAAAAGGCTTTTGACGGGGGACTTAAATCTATCAGCCGCAAAAACATTTTTTATAAAACTATCAGAGAAGAAGTGATAAGCACGGATGAAATGGTCATATAGAGAAAATGCAGAGGGGAAAAAGGCCGGGAAAGAGTGGGCGAATATTCATTCGCTTCGTCAACCTTCATCAGTTAGTACGAATGAGGACTACTTATCTAATTGTAAGACACGCGCTAACTTAATGAAATATCTGTCAAAATATGCAAATGCGTATTTCAGTCGTCAAAAAGTCGCGGTAATGCTATCGTAATTTACTCGTATCGACATGTGTAAAACGATGAATGCAGAGCGATAAGTTGATGGGATTATTCAAACCGCGTGTGTCTCACTATGGCGCTGAAACTTAAATTCAAGAATTCTGACATTAATAAAAGCCCGGATTTCGATTTGCGACTGAGTTTACGTCGCAAATAAGTCACTCGATCCTCGATTAGTGATCTGAACCGCGAACGGTGCTGCCTGTCGTGCTTGCTGCGGAATCGGTGAATAAGCCATTGAAACCTCCGTAAAGCTACAAGATCCGTCTTCTGTGCTGGCGCATCCGTTCCTTTGAACGTCGCTTGTGTTCCTCGACATCTCGTGGCCGACGAGCCTCTCGGTGGTGGCGACGGCGGGCCACTCGAGTTCCGCTCTGTGGTCTTCGCGCGGTTTGATTCTCCTCCGCTTTCCGCGCGCTCGACCGCGTTTCCGATTCGGTTCACGCGTCTTCAAGATGCCCGATGCACCGCGACGGCCGAGTCGCGCGCGAAGAAGGAAAAAGCGAAGGAATCCGACGCCTGGTCGGTCTTCTACTACTGTATAGTCGACTCCTGAAGATTGTGCAAGTGAGCGTAGAGACCATCGGCCTCCATCAGATCGTCGTGAGTGCCCATCTCGGCCACGGATCCCCGATCGAGCACGCAGATCACGTCGGCGTTCCTTATAGTGGCCAGACGGTGGGCTATGGTGATACACGTTCTGTTCTGCATGGCCTTGTCCAGGGCCGCCTGCACGACCTGCACGCAGAAAATATCGGTTAATGCGATAGGCTGTTTCCCGGGGACACGTCGTCGACAACGGCGACGGGAATATAAATGTAAACGATCGTTAGGTTGGCTATCATTTTATACATTTTGTTCATCGGCAAAGATCTCATACGAGAGATTAAAATGGAGATGTTGTTCTCGGAATTTAACATATAAAATTGTTCGAATAATCGTTTAGGAAAAATCTTCTGTTCTAGTATATTTTTATACGAATTAATATCGAGGTGTACCCGAGAATTAATCGCTTGCGTTGGAATAATGTATCTCTTGTATCATTTAAAAAAGCCACAATTACAAACAGAGAATTATCTCCCCTTACAGAATTTATGTCTCTAACGCGATATAAAAAATTATTCACTGCTTATGCGATTCATTTTTGAAATAGTATGCTATAAATTTTAACTTTCGGTATCGCGCGTTGCATATATATATATGGCATCCATTACGCAAAGCGGGACGTGCTGCGTGGTATTGTAGAAGTGTTAAAAACAAATTAACATTAATAATACAACGTCGCGCGTACATGTTCCTTGTGCGTTCCCAGGGTATAAATTATTCAGCACATCTTCCCAAAACTAATCCCGTAAACGCTGAGTAATTAGCGCGAGCGGGCGTGTTAACGCGGAACACAATTTAAATCAGGGAAGCGATTCGGGCGCGACGCTTAGAGGGGCTAATCGAACGTAAGCACTTTCCCGTTTTACGGGACCCGACGACAAACGGAGGGATGGGCGACGTCGTGGGATCGTGTTCCGAGAGAGAGAGAAAGACAGAGGGAGAGAGAGAGAAGGAGAGAGATAGAGAGGGGGGAAGAGGGTCGATACGGAAACAATATTGCCGCGAAATTCATTTGGCCGCGACGAAGTCGTTTCCCGACAGGGGTGCAACAACCGCTTGCTCGTAAAACCGAACATTTCCGATTGTTAGCGCCGATAACACCGGAAATGGCGCGGTAGCCGGTTCATCCGGCAATTCGACATCGAGAATGAGGGATCAGGAGGGAGAGAGGGGCGAGAGGGAGAGAGAGAGGGGGAAAAAGAGAAAATAAAAGATATATATCTCGCTGTCGGCATCTACAGGCTGTTTGACAGATTATCGCGTGCCGTGATAATTTTTTTTTTTTTTTTATGAAATTGCTTTACGCGTGGGAATGGAAAAAATGTGATTGCGCGGCTATGCAATTTGAGCCGTTCCTGCGACAGAGGGCCGATGCGGGAGTATCACCGGGTTTTAATCGAACACGCCGGAATTAACATACACAACGCGTGTCGGCCATACAGCCGCATAATATGCGGGCATTATTTCGCCGCGCGCTCTTTGACTCGCACTTTCTACCTGTATTTTTCATCTAAATTCACCTGGGTCTCGTTAATATTCATCCCGCCGCGCTGCACTCACCGCGCGATAGTTTAGATCACCGCGAAATCGCCGCACAGTCGACGCTCCGCTGCACACAGTGGACACCGTATAAATACTCAGATATTTATTATCCGATTCCGCCGACTATATCGCACACGTTATTGCTTATCGGAAATAGTTCCGCGATGTTTACGTGCTATACGTGTATTGTGCTATACGTATTTGTATTACAATAGCCGCCCACTCTCTCTGTCTCTCATTAAAAATGCGAATCGCTTCGCTTGGATCGTGCGCGATAAATTAATTAAGCGTCATTTCTAATTTCTCTAATCTCTCATTATTTTGCAATTTGAAATGGGGCAATTTTCATACAGATCTTAGAGATTCCAGTTGCGTAGAAACAACTCTTAAAAATAAAGTTTATATTTTTTTTCCTTGTAAGGTCTGTCTATTCCATTTGTATTTTTGTTGCGTTTTTCGTTTCCTTCCTCATACAAAACATGAATATATATACACTTGTTTCGTGCAGCGTAAAGGAAAACGTAGCTAAAATGGATTGACCTAAAAACTCGATGCTGACTCGGAGTTAATGCAACCTACGAGTGAATGGGGGAAAAAAACAAGCACCATGTGCAAGCGCTATCTTCCTGTCGACTGAAGCAGCGAAATTTCGCGCGAGAGTGCAACAGACGTTCTTAACAACTATATAGCAGCCGGGCATTATGAAGTACGCGTTTCCGCCGGTGAAATTTTGCTGAAGAAAATCCGCGGATGACGCCCGAGGGAGACACACGGCCGAAACAAACCGTCGCCTCCGTCACTTCCGACGACCATTAACTCGATTGCCCGTCGCCGGTCGGTCTTTCGCGAAAACGATAACGGCCTCGTGCCCCTTCGGAAAAATTTTCAATCGGACTTCCAATCTCGCCGTCTCGATCTCGTCATCGACGGCCTGCGACGTTATTCCAGCGCCGAAGTGCAATCTCGGGAATTATGATACACCGTTAATCGAGAAATCGTACACCCTACACCGTGCAAAAAAAAAACGGAAGTTGGACACGTCATCCGAATAGTGATTGTTCCGCTCTGCGAATCGTACGGTTTTGTACGGTTAATAAGCGACTTCCCGGTAATATCGCGCAACAATTCATGGACGCGTTTTACTTTAGATGCAATCACTTTTGTCATGGGCTCGTTCATCGCTCTTATTTTATATTTCCGAGCACTATTCGGACTCCAGAATAAAGCATATATTCTCTGACATTGTGGTAAAGAAAGGAAAAAATTATTCGCGAGTAGTTTTTTTTAGGAGAGCAGCTTAACGGTTCTCACCTTCTCGCTCTGAGTATCGAGGGCTGAAGTGGCTTCGTCCAACAGTAAGACTCGAGGATTTCTCAATAGCGCACGTGCGATTGCTATTCGTTGCTTCTGCCCACCACTAAGCTGAGTGCCCTTTGATCCCAACCTCGTGTCGTAACCCTAAATAAGCAAATAAAAAAGAAACAGGATTATATTTAATCGCAGAGATAGAAGAAATGGTTACAAAGTATTAATAATACTTTAATGAAATATTAATAACATTAATTCTCTCCTCATAGCTTTTATATTTTATTCTCTTTTCTTTCGAATAATTGTAACTTTTAAAAAATTTTTTGAAACCTATTGTAATGTTAACATTACATTTATATATATTCTCGTGGTATTTTTATTACACGTAGCAGCACAAAAAAGGCTCTTGTTTCTCTCTTTTTTAAAAATATGCTCCAGATTTTTCGCTGCGCGTAACTCATACGCGGGTATTGTATAACATCGGCAAACTAACCAATGGTAGCGAAGAGACGAATGTATGGATGTTTGACATTTTGGCGGCCTCGATGATCTCGTTCATGGCCGCTTGTCGGCTGTTGTCGCCATAAGCGATGTTCTCCGCGATCGTTCTGTCAAAGAGCACCGGCTCCTGCCCGACGACGCCGAGCTGCGATCTGAGCCTGCCCAGCGAAACCGAGGCGATGTCACGTCGATCCAATGTCACGGTGCCGGAGAGCGGATCGTAAAGCCGCTGCAGCAGTTGAATGCAGGTGGATTTCCCGCAGCCACTCTGACCCACGAGGGCCACCATCTGGCCCGGTTTCACGATCAGATTCAGCCCATTGAGCACCGGCATCTCCGGCCGCGTCGGATAATGGAAGTTGAGCTTCGAATATTGTATCAAGCCGTCTGCCTTCTGCGAGGGCAAAAACACAAAGCGACTCGTTAGCCGGGGAGGAAAGATTCGAGGACTCGCGTTAATCCCGTAATTTACGCGTCGCTTGCCTTTTCTAAATCCCGCGATACGCGGAAAGCAGAGGAGGCGGAGGAGCTCGTTTCATTTCTTTTTTCTTTCTTCGGAGTTATTGTAAGGGGACAATTATTGCAACGGCACGATCAACTGGATTATGATTTGGAGATATTTAACGCGGAGTACGCTTGATTTAATTTACGCCAAGTACTCTCAGATACCGGTGTTGGTTCTCAACGAAATCAATTTCGCGTCTTGAACGTAATTAACGAGACACTGCTCGGAGCAATGCTTATCAAACAGCCCTAAATTTCTAACGGATGTAATATCATTTGCACAGCGGTGTTCCGACTTGCGCGCGCGGGTACGTTTACAAACACGATGCACTGCAAACGAAACGGAAAACCGCGTTTCGATGCGAAGATTAAACTTGCATCCGGCAATCAGCGGCATTTACGGCAAGGCGTCGCGGTAATTATCGGATTAATTTGCGCGTCCGTCGCGCACGTTGCGCGAATCGTCAAAACTGTTTGCGATCCCTGCGCGCTCTATGCAACGTGGTTACGTAAGCAGTTTGTCGAGTGCATTATAAATTATGTGGCTCCGTTAGAGATCTCGTTTAATAATCTCCTTAATAATAGATTAAATAATAGAGTACTATTTAGCGTGCTGTATGTAATAAATCTTGCATTACACTGATTTTGCGTCTTACAACGAGATAAAAGCGCTTCTACAAAGATTTCGGAGAACTATAAAACAGACTGTTGATAATTTTGTTCTTCGAAACTATCTTTGGAATCTATACGAATTTTTTAAGTACCGTATAAGTCTTATTTCTATCTACTTGTGTTACATATCACATATCGGTCAAGTTCACTTATGTCGAATTCTCTTCTTGTTTTTTATACATAAAAATATGCAAACATTTCTTCGCTTTCAATTCAATCAATTCGATTTTGTTAGTCTGATTATTCAGTTGGAAACTCATTTACTTTATTTACAAGGGAAATTATTCCGTAATGAAACACGTGAATCACGTCGGCGTCCAATGACACTCGGCACGTGTGTTAAAACAAATCACTAAGGCTAATAATTTTACGATTCAGTAGCCAATTTAAATGCTATGTTCAGTGTCGCGTAAATTTCGATTAACTTTGTAAGAGATTAATTAAAAGTTAAAACTAATTATGTACACGTCCCGTTCTTTATTACTTTACGTTCTTTGCGCAAATTTTCTATTCTCTTAGCAAAATTTAATTACATGTCCTATCTTTCGTTCATTATTATTATTTTACATTTTACATGTTGGCGATTCAAAGCCAGCTGCAATTTGAATCTCGCAAATATTATTCATTTAATGACCGCAACTAAATACATGTGTATAACGAAAAGAAAGTGCGCAGTGCTCAAAACGCGTTACGTACTCGCTACTTCACGAGTAGCCGAGTAGTTTGCAAACTGAATATGCAGAATATCAAAGCGAGCTTACCCAGTCTAAATCCTTTCCCTCTGAGCCCGGTGGCGAAGTGATTTCTGGAACTCTGTCGAGCAGCTTGAAGATTCTGCCCGCCGAGATCTTAGCCGTTTGGAAGTTCGGCGCGAAGGCGAGCGCCTGTCCGAGCATCCACGAGCCGAAGATCAACGCTTCCGACACTTTGATGACTTTATCGTACTCGAGTCCCTCTCTGGCCACCAGATATCCTCCGTAATACAAACTTATGGCGTAACCGAACATCGGCGTGGTCTGGCCGCACGAGTACACTAAACCTCTCAGCCTGTTTCTGATTCTCGTTGCCTGGGCGACGCGGTTCAGTTCCACGCAGTATCTCTTGAAGAAGACGTCCTCCTTGTTGAGACTGGCGACCGTACGTATGTGGGTTATCGCCTCGACGGCTACCCGAGTGGCCGACTCCATTTTCTTCTTCTCCTGCATACCCTGGCCGCCCATGACTCGCGCTTCGAAGAACACCGCGGCGAGCACCAGCGGGATTGACACCACCGAGACCAGCGTCATCTTCCAGGTGTAATACAAGGATATGCCGATTCCGATCACGAGGGTCGAGAAGGCTTGGAGCATGGAGCCTATGCGAGTTCCAGTCGCGCCTTGAACGGCCGCGGCGTCCGCTGAGAGCCTCGCGCAGAGCGCGCCTACGCTATTCAAGTCCTCGTCGTACCAGCCCATCTCTTGCTTCAGCATCGCGCTGAACGCCGTCTTCCTTATTCGCGTCGTCATACGCACGCCTGCCAGGCCGAACATGTACATTTGCAGAAAAGTACTGATACCTGTGATCACGCCGATGACAATGAAGAGTATCGAGAGGAAAATGGTATATTTCATGACGTCGGCGGGCTCGGGAAGATTCAGTACCCAGTAAATGTCACCGAATATAATAGCGAAGGCTGGGAAGGAAGCGCCTACCACCCCTGCCGCGATACATCCTGCAAGAAATCGTAAATTATTTCTTTTTTTATTGATATTTTACTACTCGGCTTTTTTTTTATACTTTTTACATGATCTCATAAGGCCTGAACTGTCAACAGATTCACTACTATCATTGTTCCCGTTAGCTAGAAATTACCGGTCAAATTTAATGGCCATTCCGGCCTGTTTAATCCGAATATCCTCATCATAGGCGCGTCATAAGGTTTCTCGTACTCTTCCAAATCCTCCTCTGAGGAATCGGATCTCGCGAGAGAGAGTCGATGGGAGTGTGCGGATAACGTGGAAAATTGTTTGCTCAACGGCGGATTCTTCCTCATCTTCGGGGACATTGCGATCTTGGCAGCAGTCCTCTTGGCAGCACTGGCCCTATCTATATAGTGACGAATAGCGGAAAATTAATCGTGTATCTAAACATTCACGGATAAACGAGCTAGAGCGCACCTTTAGCTGCGTTCTCCACGTGGACGGAATGCAGTCCGTAATAGTATTTTTTGAGCGCCATCAATTCCTCGTGGGTCCCTTGCTCGACGACGACCCCGTCCTTAATAAACACGATCCTGTCGACGTTCGTGATGGTGGAGAGTCTATGACTGACTATAATCGTCGTTCTTCCCTTCGCTGCCGCGTCAAGGGCTCTCTGCACGGTCGCCTCGCTGTGAACGTCCAATGCAGAAGTCGCCTCGTCCAGCAGAAGAATCGCCGGATTTCTCACCAGCGCACGTGCGATGGCGATTCTCTGCTTTTGTCCACCCGACATTTGAGAGCCTCTCTCGCCCACTGGACTGTCGTATCCCTGAATTCAAAAACCGGCCGCTTCATCGTTTCGATCCTTTGTGCGCGAATTGACATTGGGATGCGACATCGCAGAACGTGTCTCAAAAAAGATCAAATTTTGGAATCGAGAGAAATTCATCCAAATTGTCTATACTATTCTATTACATTCTATTACATTCTGCTGTATTTGAACGCCTGCTGTACGATATGTCGATTAAATCCACGTACATTCGACGCGATTTAACAGATAACGCAGTCACTGTCCACAAATATTATCGCGGCAATGCAAATGGGGTGCGCTGATTACATTTCTGATGAACTTACACCGAGATGCCCGTGCAAATCTCATTTTTCCAACGATACGGAAGCTGCGCGGTTAAATTGTATGTAGCGCTTGCGAACGTATAAACCGGATAAACCCGAAATGTGTGTGCAAACGCGGACAGCGATCCAATGGGACTATCGATTCACCTACCGATAATCCGCTAATAAACACCTAATAGTTGACACATGCGCAATCTCGGGTAATGTTATTTGCTCCGCGCACGGTTTAACACGCGTGTTTTATCGCCTGTTTGCGCGCGGACTGCCAGGCACACCTGAGACTATTGTTAACACATCGCAACGCGCGATGACAACGGTTATATTCAGTCGGAGAATTATTGGGAAAATCACGCCCCCTCGTTTCGTTAATTATTAATTTTCCTCTTTAATTACGTTCGCCGAAATCTCAAAACTCCCGTTTAATGAGATTTCATCGATTAGCTTCGAATACGCGCAATTTCTCATGGTGATGAAATTTTACAGATTATCAAAATCAAAATGGTCTCAAGCATTTTTGCAATTTCAAGTTTGAGCATTGTCATCATTGTGATTCTAAATAACAATTATCATTATTAGCGATTACGTTCGTTCCACGATCGATTCAACATATTCCGTGCAAACGTGCTGATGAGTCTCGGTAGAAGAGACAGATGTCGAACGGATACAATGTCTTCGTTCGGTTTTCAATCGAGTGACAGCGCCGACGTATTCGCCGGCTCTGTGACTTCCCGATGAAGCTGTCGAAGCACGACCAAAAGGAAGCTATAATTCCGGACGGGCAAAGGGCGCGGCTGGACTACGAGAAAAGGGCGGCGGTGCTCACCTCCGGTAGTTTGCTGATGAAATCGTGAGCGTTCGCTTCCTTTGCGGCTTTGATCATCTCCTCCTCGGTAATGCTGTCATTTCCGTAACGGATGTTCTCGCGTATCGTTGTGTCAAAGAGCACCGGCTCCTGACCGACCACGCCGATGTGCGAGCGCAGCCATTGAACGTTCAACGTCGACACGTCGACCCCATCCAGCAGGACCTGCACAGGAAAATATGGGAACTCCTGGAAATTGTCTCCCTTTATGTACCCACACGTATGCCGTGTTAACGTGCTAACATTTCGCGCGAAATGAGAATTGATAGTTGAGTGGAACGATAATGACGTGGAGAACTCCGTTTGAAAACAAACGTCGCTGTTACATAATTGCTAGGCAGGATAGATTTCTTAAATAGCCATAAAATGAACAATATAATTTCTAAGCAGAATACACATATATATATCTTACAATTAGGTATATATTTCTTTTTTGCTGAGCGTTACTGTTTTCTCAATTTTGAATCGTAATAACAATAAAATTAAAATATTAGCAATCATTAGATATGAGTAGAATTATGAAATAAAAATACGAGCAAAACAAAATTGTAAAGCAAAACGTGAGATTAAAAAGAGTACATAAATAACGTAACGTCGAAAGAAATAGTCATCATATTTTTATATGCGTGTACCACGGAAACGATCTATGGGAAACTGCACGTATGCAGCATTTTAATATTACACGTAACTAAAAGCGAACTTTTAGTTTGCAACTTTATCGAACACACACGCGTGATACATCCGTTGGGTAGGGCGCGGTAAAAAGCCGCAGAGTATAAAACATAAAATGTTTATTACACGCAGGATGCTGCGTTACTATACCCACAGCTACTTTGGCGCCGTAAAAATCGCTGTTGCGTTATAAAATTGTAACGACATTCTTCACCGCGCGCGATCTCGATCGTATGAGAATCTAGCGACACCGATCGTCTCTATGTCTCTCTCTCTCTCTCTCTCTCTCTCTCTCTCGCGTGAAAGCGTGGCGGAAAGAGCCCACTATTTTCTCCCGTCGCGACTTTTCCCTGTTGTGAAAACATAAACAGGATAAGTGAGCCGACACCGACGCTCAAAAACGTTCGACGGGAAATAATGGAAAATGTAATACGGGAATGATGACCGTAAAACAATTATTTTCCGAACAACGCCAAAGTAAATTACCACAGCGCAACGCCATTTATTCAGCGTCATTGTATTTTCGCGAGGGATAAAAACGTCACTTAGACCATTTATGGCGCTATATATGCTGTTATTAACTTTGTTCCCCACGTAACAACGCCCGTCATAGTGCGCGAGTCGCGCCGCTCTCTATACGCTTTTGCCATTAAAAAATTTCATATAAACCGGTTTACAATATGTCTCTCGCGTAAACAAAGGAATGAAGTGCGGTATCCAAAATTCTTACGTCTTTAAGTTAACGCGTTCTTTGCTCCGCACTGCGTGCGTTGTACGCGATGAAAATCAATAATTTTGACGAAGCAGCGAATACTCTTTCTGGCGAGAAAAAAAAAAGAATCCGATTAATAATAAGTCGCTACTGACTTGTCCTTCGAGGGGATCGTAGAGCCGTTGAACGAGCTGCACACAGGTGGATTTACCGCATCCGGATTCACCTACGAGCGCCACCGTTTCGCCGCGATTGATCTTCAGATTCAGCGCCTTGAGCACTTGAACGTTCTTCCTCGCCGGATAGCGGAACGCGACGTTCCTGAACTCGATCTCACCGTTGACGGTGTCCAGCCGGCGACCCTCCTTGCTGAGGCTGTCGATCGACGGCACGCGATCGATGACGTTGAATACCGCGGCCGCGGAACCCCTCGCCATCGCGAATGCCTCGAGAAGCGGCGAGGTCAGGCCCATGTTTTGCGCGCCGGTTAAAACGCCGAAGAACACGATCACTAATACCCCTGCCGTGTACTCCTTTACTTCTTTCGAGCGGTCGTCCAGGATTAATTGCACCCCGTACCTGCGCGCAAGGGAAAATCTACTTTTTGCGGTTTTGGAGCGTGGCACGTCCTCGGGAAAGCTTTTTTTTTTAACTGCGTAAAAAGGAACGGCACTATTCTATACGTAAGTGCCCAATTATCTATCTCGTGGCTTTTATATTATATTTATAGAAAGATGAGAATTTATTCATATTGTTAAATAAGATAGATACAAAATTCAAGCGAAATAATTACGTTAGACAAAACAACGTCAGAACAATCAGACGTTCATTATAGCTCATTTAGTGCTTATTTAAAAATGGACATGTATTTTATCACGAGAACCAGATTTTCAATTACGACACGCGTGACATACTTCTGATATCTCATCTAACAATAAGTTATCGAATTTTAAAAAAATATTCACAGAGCATAGGTTTGTGCGAATAACGCGATGCTTTTTGCGATAATAAACACGCATCCTCACCAAAACGCCAACGCGTAACTGAGATATATGATAAACCACATGATGCCGCCGCCGATTCCGGACCACATGCCTCTCCTGATGCCAGTTCGTTCCGCGGGCACGAGTTTCTCCGAGTACCTTTCCACCTCTTTCTGCTCGCCGTTAAAAGCGACTACGGTCCTGATGGCGGCAAGAACTTCCTCGGCGACGCTACCGGCCTGACCGTAGGCCGCCAGCTCCTTAGCCGAGAGTGAACTTTGCACCTTGGCGACAAAGGCTGTAGCGATTATTATGATCGGCGCGCAGCTTAGCATGACCAGGGTCAACTTCCAGCCGTACACGAACGAGATGATGACAGAAGCGAAGAACGAGGTCATTAAATACGTGATGACACTTAACTTTTCTCCCATGCCGTCCTTCATCTTCTCCAAATCACTGTAAAAAAAATAGGCGAAATATCGTCATTTTATCGTATATCCGTTGATGTAATAGCTAAATAAATCCTTTGATCCCCTTCGCGATCCTATTTCGGCTTAATATCATTTTCTACATAATCGAAAGTTAGTCTCAAGATTCAACTTTTAAGCAAGCACGTGCTCGAAGCTCCGGAACCGAGTTTTGATCGAGATCAACGTTTATCAGCGTCTGTCATTGGCGACGTTATCGCTATCTGATATTTTTTCCACACAGCCCATCTGCCACAAGATTAAAAATCTTTATGTAACGCTGGCTATATATTGTTGAACAATCGATAGCCGATCAATGGAAAGTAGACGCGATCAATTTCTGTATATTCTACTAGATATATATTTTTTTAGATAACAAATTACTGAGCGACATTGCTGTTATCATGTTTATTGCAGACACTCGGTCTGCAATGAACTGTAATTGTAATAACAATAAATGCGTTTAATTACATATACGCTAAAGCGCAATTAAAGCTTATCTCTTGTTGCGCGTTTTCTCCCTATCTTTATCGCGATGTAGAAAAATGGAATCGTGACCGACTAACGGGACCGGCTATCTCGAGATAAAAATTAACATATTTGCGATTTACACGGCTAATAACTTAATAAGAGTCGCTCGTCCAATTACTATACGGTGTAATGCGAGCGAAGGCAGAGATAGTGTGAGAACAGGCTTTTCGAGTTTCGAGCAAACGCCCACCTGTTGATGAACACACAGGTTCTCGCCTCCTGAACTTTGCTCCCCGCATCCGTCCCGCGTTTACATTGACGGTCTCGAAAATCGAAGGTACAACGTCGTCTTTCCTTTGAGGACGCATCGACGCGTGAAGGTACGAATATTGTCCCCGCTGACATTATTTCGTAAAGAGAGATCATACCGAGAGTCATCCGAGATGCTTCGAATATCAAAAAATTTGCACAGCTTTCGTATTTTTTAAATAATATCCCTTTTAACGAGTCGATGCGATTGTTTTTGTTAATTGTATTTTGTAATCACAACTCTTTCTCAGTGATTTAATGCTACTGATGCTGATTAAACATTTGATGAACGACACTGCGTAGTCATTTGTCACGGTGAATTTTGCGATCGATCCCTATTATCTGTATGTGATACAATACGACACATCAGCGCAATGATAAGAAGAAAACTCACTCGTTAATTCTACTCGCGAAGTTGGTCGACGTGTTCGTGTCGTACCACGACATGTCTTGCCTAAGAACGGATCTTAGAAACATCTTGCGTATCCTGGAGATTTGTCTAGAGGCAGCGAGATTGAGCAAGTCGACCATGGTCATGCAAAGGACGAACATAATCGCCGATAGCGCCGCGCAGGAGACGCCAAAAGCCACCGAATCGTCATAAAGAGCGTCCATCTTCTCTTCGTGAGTTGCATTAGCAGGTCTGAAATAACATTTTTTTTTGCGTCACAATAAAATAACACTCTGCTTCCCCCGATCCGGCGTTCGAGGGGATTTATTTTCAGGAATCTGTCACACCATGATACATGTTCTCCTTGTCGTTATAAAATGTATCTCGCGGGAAGACTATCAATTCTTGAAGGTATAAAGAGGTGAAATGTTACTTACAAAATCTTGCCACCCCCGAACCACGGCATTATGACGGTTGGTGTGGTTGTGTCATTCCTATGACGATCCAATAGCAGAGTGCTGAATTCACCATATTGAATGATTGAAACTGGAATGGTCAAGCCTACGAGGCCACCCAGTATCAGGCTTAAGAAGACCAGCATCAACTCGCCCCACGTCGCAAATCGAAACTGATAAATTTGAAACAATTGTAACACATTTATATTAACCACACTTACGGTACAATTTTTGCCGTCGTAAATATTATTGCGCTTCAAAATTTACGAATAGCGCAACAATATGGAATTTATTGTGATACGCGTGTCTATAAGAATGTAAAAGAGAACACGATTTCTGTATTTAAAACGCGGAATGTTTTTTTTTCGCAAAAGTTTCGCAAGCACGTGTACGAGTTATTCGGCGCGGCGAACTCGCGCGTTTTTGAATGATTCAGCAGCGCGGATTCGCGCTTTCCGAGAGATTAGCTTGCAAAAAATTAATACCCGACTAACCATGATTGACGAGCGACCACGCAACCTACTTCTACGCAAGAACAATCATAATTGACCGAAAAACGTATTCGAATTTACGGCGTCGTGAAAAATATCGTTCGAGTTTAATTCCCGAGCGTGCGGGAGAGTTCATGGTCTATTAAATGGGGGAATTATAATGCGGAAAATTATACAAATGTATCCCGGCAATGAGTCATTAACTGTCGTTTATCACAGAGAGCAGTGTCATTAATCACTGTCGCGCATTTAGAGATGCCCCACAGTCGGTGCAATCGGGAGAGAAGTAACATTCTTAACGGTTTCGCCGGCGGATCCACTCCACCCCGGAATGCGCGTCTTGCTTCCATTTCGTTTATATTAGTGCAACGTCGCGTGAAAAAAAAACGTGTACGGTGTGCCGAATTTCCATTCGCGTTCTCTTCATCCGCTTCGTTAGAGTCGACTTATCTTTAGAGGAATATTGACACGCTAATAGTTTCCGAGTTGTAGAGCAATCGAACGTTTGAAAAAGCGGCTTTGACTTTCGATAAAGAATCTATAGAGTTTTCTCTTCCTTTCGGAAGAGTGGAGGACGGTATGGGACGGACACCCCGTATATTCTCGATTTCTCAAATATCCCGGCCTCCGCCGCAGGGAATGTCGCGCATGAATTTCGACCGAGGACACCCTCATAAATTATTCTAACAGGGAAAACTCACCAGTTTGTAGTATGGCACGGGTGGCAGCGATGGCGGCTCCGACGGTTTGTCCTCCTTTTCCTCCGCCTTCGTTTCCGATGGTATGAATTCCCTGTCGACACAAAATCCAAATCGATCGTTAATCGAAATCCTTGAGATTAAAATTCGATATTTATTCAACGAACCGATCTTTCCCATACTTTTCTATGGATTTCGCTCAAATTTCTCAGTCGGGAGAGTGTGACACATTCATTTTAAATTTGTCAAAAAATGCACCCAGTTAAATTCTCGTCTATTTTCACTGCCCGTTGACTCGGGCACAAATAACAAGACTGGACACATTTTTCGCAGTGGTGGGAAAAGGAATTAGGAGAATCCAACGAGTGTCGAGCATCCGAAGGATTAGGAACCATCGTACCAGAGGACATTTCGCAATATCTGAAATTGCATTACAACCACCAAAAAATAGGATGAATGATAAATGAGTGACACGGTTATTTTTACGAGGCGGTGAAAGAGACGAGGAGGTTTTGATGCCGGAAACATCCTCGTAAAAAACACATATGCGTTTCCCCGTACGAAATCATATACAGTCCGTAAAAGTTTTATGCGAGCCTCCTCTGGCCGTATTAAAACGTTAATAAGCCGGCGAGCCCTGCCGCGCACAATGATCCATTATTCAGTCTCTACGTCTCGTATATTTACTTCTAGATATATACGTCACAATCTGTAACAAGCTCATTCGTACATTTCTTTGCCATTTTCCCATAGCATGTATTCGGCTTCGTGTTTATCCTTCTCCTTGTCTTGTAGCGTGTCTGAAATTAGATATACAAGAGATACCGTACACACAAAAAATTCCACAGACACATTTAAATGCAAAGCGTGCTGCAAATAACGTGTCATCGTCGTTTATTGCATTTAACCGCGAGATAACATGACAATGGCGAGATTGACGGGATTCTAAATGTCTTTTATGTATTTTCGAATCGTATATCACACACGTCACGCAGCTGGATTATTACGCTTTTCGTTAAGAAATGATAAAGAGAGACATTAGCAGACGTGGCTTTATCTATCTTGATCGCGGTCGCATTTTTAGAAATTGTTATTGCCGTTCCAAGAAAATAATTCGACGAATCATCCAAAATGGTCTCTTCGGCTAGAAATCGTGAATCAAACGGAGGATCTTCGTAAATCGACAATTTAAGGATCAATGAGGACGCGGTGGAGGGTTTTCTTTGGGTAACTCGGCGGGAGCGCAAAAACTATCGGGATCCGCGGGAAGTTTCGACATAGTCGTCGCAAAGCCCAGGAACCAGAAGAGTAGTCCTGGATGAGAGACTTTGGCGAAAGTCGACCGGCGCGGCGGCGTCTCTCCGTGGGGGCTCCATTAGCGACGTAATTGCTGTTAGAAACTCCCCCGACAAATCTACGATCGGCACGGAATATAGAAAGCTTTGCCACCTGAAGTAATAACAGCGCCGCGCATACTCGAGGACGTATTAGCGTCAGCGTATTTTCGCGCAAAATTCGTCAGGTCTACGGTTTCACCGCGTCGAGCATAAACTTGCGAAAATTTATTCTGGAAATTATTGAAGGCAGATCTTTAGCGGGGGGAAGCACAGGAAACGAGTTATTATTTTGTTGCTTCTCGTAAGGAAAACGTATTCACTTAAGAATATTTTGTCCCGTGTTTATCGCGGATTTACTGAAATAAAATAATAATAAATATGATAATAAAATATTTAGGATAAAATGATAATTCCTAATGGCAATTTTGAACTTTAATTACAATTCCGGTTCGAAGGTTCATTACGACAATGTCACAACCTCTATATACTTCACGGTGTCTGTGTAACCGATCGTTTCTCAGAAAAACTTTCTTAGTCGTGAAAGCATTAAGACGAATGCCAGTCCTGGGAATTTCAACAGTAAGATATTTAGTGCCTCTTAAATACGTTTTCCTCGTAGATTTATTGAATAATTCGTAGCTCACTTTTATCGCAGAACTTAAATGAGATCCACCGAACTTGTACTTGGATACATTAATGTATTCACTTAAAAGTGAGCAGTAGAACAGTTATTTTCAACGAGAACTTTTTTATTATCTTGAGAAGATATGTGGTTTTCTATTCATACTAGTCGCGAAGAATAACATGCATAATACTTTATGTGTATTGTGTCTATGATCATGATGAAAAGCATAATAATCCAATATATTTTCTGTATAATTTTTCGCTCTAGGTTAGTTTTGAAATTATTTTATCTTTTACAATTTTTTAGTAAAATAGTTTTTTATCCAGCAACAATTACTCATTTCCGTTTGAATGCAAACTGATTTTTTTTTTATTCCTACCTAAAAAATTAATAATAACAGATTTTTTCTTCCATGGTTAAATACAAATACGACGATAACTGAATTATTCCCCATCGATAGTTATAATCGTTCAATATGAAAAAAACGTTTGCACTTCCGTGCAAACTTTTGCAAACATCGAAGCAAACACACAGTAATATCTCAAGCCACTTGAAATAAATCACTCAGATTTGATCAAGTTGTTCATTATATTGTTATGCGATATGGAATTAAGTAACATTCTGTGATCTATCGGATTTTTAATTAAGTGAAACTTCTGCATTTGCGAATCCAGATTGATAACAATGATAACTGATCGTTCGTAACTTAACTCCACATCAAATAACGTGGTAAAGTGCGATAAATAAAAAGCTGACTTTTAAGCAAACCAGTTTATATCCGACAGTGTAAATACTTACATCTCGAGAGGATCTTTCCCTGGTGGGGGGAGTGATTTGCCATGAGCGTCTCCATTTGGATATCCGGTGACCCCTCGCGGGGATTCGTGGATAACGGATAGATTCGCTGCGTCATTGTGCATTTTCAATTAACGACTCTGCAATCATAAGAAGGAACGACAATCGTGAAGACATTTTGCAGTGATCTAAACCTTTAATTGAGTCGGACAAAAACCGAATTTACAGTTAATTGATTCTTAAGTCGTTGAATCTCTCGCCTTTTTTACTTTTTGCCTTTTGTTACATTCTCAACGTTTTATCTTTAATTATGGCGAGCAAAGAGAAATCTCATCGTTGAGATATCGGACTCGGAGATAGACAGTTTGCTCGAAATCAAACGTATCGCAGTTAGTCATGCTAGCGGTGACGCAAATAGTGCCCCTATTTACTCCCGCCATTATCCACTATATCATATGTTTGCATGTTGAAATACCTCAGTCTAAACAATGATTAGACACCGCGCTAGCCACGTTAATTAATCGATCGGCCGGTACAAGCTGCATTAACAGCAACGACGAATTCACTCTACGTTCCATCCTATATTAAAGATATCCTGTTCCCCGTCGGTCACGCGCGACACGGCCCCCTTGTAAAAGAGAAATGTCGATTTGCTTTTTCGATACGTCGAATAAAACGAAACTTTATCCGGCCGGCGCGGGCGGATCGATGGTTCTTTCGATATGCAGACAGGATATCAGGTTCGTGCTGTTAAAGAAGAGAAACGGACGACGACATCGGGGCGAAAGGTCGGCCAGGAACGACGTTAAGGCTCGCCGAAGCTTTTAAGAACGCGATGAAAAGCGCGGACGAACAAGACCTCGTTAGAGCAGTGAAAAAGCACTGACGAGGGGCGTTTCACGCGGCCCTCGACCGATCCGATCGGACGGATTGCGATGGTCGCGCTCGTGTGATCGCGCGATTACAGACTTCTTCCTGATAATGTTCCTCGTGCCCGCGAATATGGGTAAAAGAGTTCAATTCCTCGAAATTATACAAATCTTGTTTCCAACATTCTCCTCGTATCTTATTCAGATGTCTCACGTATTCCGATTTGTCTTCAATGGACTACGAAATGACCATCACATGTCTGTTTATTTGCCATATGGTCATTATCATAGCCATATATAGTTAGAATTATGTTATCTTCGTGGTGACGTGTTCAAAATTAGGGCGGCGTTAGGGTCCATAGAATTATTTACGCTTTTAGGCGTGACTTTCGTTATCATGATTTATCTTCATTTCCAATTAATTCGAAACAAACTTCTTATCACTTTGCCAAGTTTCGCAGACTAAATCACCCCGTTTAGACTAAATTACTAAATCATCGTGTATCGAATGAGATGTAATCGCGATCCTCTCTCGCCCGTTATTCGATATGGAAGTAATACTTGTCGCTAGGACTTTATTAGTCTCGTATCGCCGTATCGTTATCGATCGCAGTCTCGTGATTGCATTTCACAGTAAAACGAAACGCGGATGAATTATTGGCCACCGCTCGAGAATTAATTGCCGAATCTGTCGCGCTAAAAGAGAGACTTCATCTTTGTTTCCTTAACTAACGAAGCCCCCTTTTTGTCTCCCGTTCGAAATATTGAAAAGTCGAGGGTATTTAAGCGCTCGCGAAAGAGGATAGCGACGTCAGTTTCAGATTATCCTATTTCACGGTAGGATTTCCCGATTTCATTTGTCTCTCGCTCGACCTTCAATAAGCTCACCTTCAGGCGAACGGGATTTTTTCCTCCGTCGCTTTAACCTCCGCTTCGCGCGGAGGAGTTTATAAAATTTTACCCTTTTTCTCCAGTTGATTTAACACGACCGACTTTATTGGCTCCGACAAATAAATTGTCTCGTTCATGCGACTCACTTTCTTTCGCTCTCGAAACCATTACAACTCCATCGGAAACCTTAAAATATCAATCGCGAATATCCTGTGATACTTTTTGTGCAAAACACCTAGATATAGATATATTGCTGTCGGAATCCAAATAAAAGAAATGGAGAAAGAGATATCAAAAAAGATATCAAACAGGGGAAGGAACAGATGTGCCTAAAGTCCTAAAGAACAAGTCGCAGACTCGAGCGAGCGATAGTTTCAAAAGTATACCCGCACAATTTTCAGCCTTTTCGAGTCTCCTTCGAGACTCGTAAATCATCGATCAAAACGGAAGTCGGACGGAGGTATATAGCCGTCACCGAGATACCGAGACGCATTTGCCGCGTTTCGTCGCTCGTCTGCGATACAGCGCGGGCACAATACGGCCCATTAATGACGGAAAGGTTATTGTCGACGGGAAGAATGAACGTCGGGCACTCGCAGACTCTCGGAATAAAGAACTTTGCGCGCGGGCTACTAAGACTTTCATAACGTCGCTTGACTTTCCCAATATACGCGGTAACGTCGTTAGGACGGAATCACAAAGTAGAGAGTGGAGTCCAACAAACACGGGGACGTAAACCCGCTTTCATTTCTCAGCGCGTCGCGCGCTCCGTCGCGCCGTTGAAAAATCGCGGCTAATTGAAAAAATTGCGAAAGTTGCGAAAACTTTCGTCGGTAGTCGTCGCCTCCGAGGTGCCCATCTTTCGCGCTCGCCGGAACTCCATTAAGCTCGGAAACTAATTTCCCAGCCGACCTCCAACGGCGCGAGGCTGTCTTGTAATCTTCTGCGGTCCGCGACTCTCGAGACACGTGTCCAGGGAATCGGCAATTTATTATTTTACGACTCGCGAGGATGGTTCGGATTAATCTTTGTTACTATAAAAATTAGCCTCTCTTCGAGATAGGAACTAAGAATCTCCACGGATAGTCAGAGAAAAAAAAACGTGCAGGATTATCAATTAATATTTATTTAGATTATCCAACAAAAGTATCCTTGCGTTCTTTTTAGAGATAAAAATAACACAAGAGATAAATAGAAGAATATGACCACATTTTGAGAATATTTTGTAGCTATCTCTAATTACTCATTCGTCAAATTTACCCAATTAAGTAACTGGTATTTCTCGTATGTATTTTTGGTGCCAAAAAGCAAATTTGAATAACAGAACCGGGCGGAATGCGCGTCGCGATATTTTTTTCTGCTCGTAAAAATGAGTATCTGTTTTCGCCGTTTGCCTACTCTTGCTGGTTTCAATGTAATTAACACGACGTTCCGTCACTACCTACCGCTGCTTTGTGGGCCTTGGGGTTCGTTAAGCTCGGCAAATTAATTTCCATCGTACTTTCAAACCCAACCGCGATTCTTGCGGTTCGCCAGTGAATGCGCCGCGTTACGAAGTGCGCCGGGCTCGTAATGCAGCGATTCACGACCGCGCTTCCGCATCCGTTTCGTCGGTCCTCCCTTCTTCCTCCAAATGGGAGATGATGCCACGGGGAGGCAGAAAATGTGGACGTGGAAGTGCCAAAGCCGCGGAGGAAAACGTAACACGGGTTATTCGCTTAGCGGTAAATTAAATCTAACGAGTCAGAGAGAAAGTATTTGCGCGCAATGTCTGACTCGTGCGGAACACGAACCGTACGGGCGAAAACTAAAATCTACGATCAACATTTTCCGCCGGGTTTCCGATTCGTTTTCGACTTTGATCGCCTTTGAATCATTCGGCTGCGCGCTTTTCAACGGATATGGAGTTGACTTTTTCCCGGCGGAAATTTTGCGGAATGTCAAAAACTTGTTTACGGCTTCTCTTGCTCTTTGAAAGCAGATTTTTTAATAATTAAGCACTAAATTAAATTTGTGTAGCTAAAAAAGTACAGTCCGCATGCAATTAAACAATTAAACATTTTTTTCTGTCTAAGCTAAATCACAGGAGATGTTATCAATCATTAATCGTTAATCTGACCAGTGATTCTCCGAGTCATAATAGTACAGGTCAGATAGTGGCTATCAATTAAACAAGACAAGATTAGATTCGATTTGCTTCGCCGTAATGCAATAACTTAACTATGAGTCAACTGGCTCGCCATTATTGTCTGACTAACTGTTCCACGTTTAGCTTTAACGCCAAATTCGTTGTCACAAAGTCTTCACGGGGAATTCAGCATGCGAATTATACAACCCTCGGGGAGTATCTTTATTCATAATACATTCGTGTATAGATACAGCGATGTTGCAACTTACGAAAGACGAAGGGAAGATCGATGGCCGCGTGATACATCATGTCAGAGATTAATCTAAGATTTGATATCTTCGGTAGAGAGGGAGAGCGAACTTCCACGTGCGAGGAAAAAGGAAATGCCTTGGATGAACTTCGTTAACTGATGGTGAAATGTGGCGGAAAATTGCGAGTTTCTTCCATAACAAGGAACAAGTAATCGCACAACAAATAGATCCGTAGATAGAAACAGAGCTTCGTACAAAACTGGATGGATCGTAGATAGATACATAGGAAGATATTAATTTCTTAATTATATATATAAATCTGCTAATTTAATTTTTTAACTACGCAGGAGACATTTAATTTTAATTTTCACGTGCACATCAAAGCATCAGCCACACTCACAATTTTACCTCCGACTACAGCCGTACAAAGACGACATGATATTCGAAGAACCTTCTCGCGACGGAGTTTTCGAGATATTTTACTTCTCTCTTTCGGCGTACGTCGCGACGAAAGGACGTACGCCGTTGCAAACTTTAACGTTTCGAAATAACGAGATAAAACGAGGTAGGAAATTTGGTTTGTGCCGGCAACGTTCTTTCAGAAGCTAATCGATTCGTGGCCACCGTGGGACCATTTCGCAGGATCATCCCTACTAAGGCGAGGTTTTATCCGCCGGGATACGCGGAGTATCTCGATGTAACCTGCGAAAGGAACAACTGACTTCACCCCAGGAGACACCGCGCCTCGGAAATACGATGGAGAGAAAAGTCGTGAAACGAGTTCTCTCAGTAGTTCTAACGCGTACGGGTCAGCCGCACGTTGGATATACGGGAGCGGAGTGGTAAATTTTGTGAAAATCGATGAAAATAGTGCGACATTCGAGAAGTAACGTCCATCTACTCCGGCCAACGATGCTCCGTTGCATCGTGAATAAAATAAATGCAGCGCAAGCGTTTCTCCGATCGCGAGATAAATACGTGCTTATCAAACTTGAAAACTT